ACAGTCTTACACCAACATCAGAGATCAAAAAGGAAGAGAAAGAAAACAACTCATTGAATCCTATAGACTAGATTGGGTCTGTCTAATTGTGTTTCCCTGAGTTTTCTTTCCGTTTTTCACCCTTAATATTCATGCCTTGTCTGTCTCTGAGTGTCCATCTGTTTGTGAATGGGGGAAGCAGGGTGAGTGTAAGGAGGAGTAAAGTTTAAGTTATAGAGAATGATGAGTTTAAAATTTTTGCAAAGATTTGTAGCTCGGGTTGTGGGTGAGGTTGTTAACATTATTGCCAAGCTGGCTTGCTTTCGTTCAGATGTTTCGTCACCATACTGGGTAACATCATCAGTGAGGCCTTCGATGAAGCGATGTTGTTCTACTCCACTTGGAATTTATACTGTCCGGTCCGTTATGGTGAATAGTGTCATTTCCGGTTTTGATCTGTAGGAGTTTGTACATGGGGTCCAATTCTACATGTTTGTTGATTGCATTATGGGTGGAGAACCATGCCTCTAGGAGTTCCTGCGCATGTCTATGTTTTGCTTGGGCTACTATGGTTATGTTATCCCAGCTAAACTGATGGCCTTCATTGTCCGAGCGTACTGATACTCAGGAAAATTCGTCTTGTCCTTTTGCTGCTAGCTGATGTTCAGGTATTCTGATGGCTAGTTTCCTTCCTGTCTGTCCAATGTAATGTTTGTGGCAGTCGTTGCATGGTATTTTGTAAACTACATTCATTCTGTATGTTGTGGGAGTGGGATCTTTAATCCTTGTGAGTGTTTGTTGTAGACTGGCTGTGGGCTTGTGTGCCACCATGATTCCTAGTGGTCTTAGGAGTCTCATTGTCAGTTCTTATATGTTCTTGATGTAGGGCAGTGTGGCCAGTGTGTTAGTGTGTACTGTGTCCTCTTGTTGTTGCTTGTTTAGTAGGCACCTGCAGATGAAGTTGCGGGGATATCCGTTCATAGTGAAGATTTTGTATAGGTGCTCTTCCTCTTTCCTGTGTAGTTCTGACGTATTGCAGTGAGTGGTGGCCCGTTTAAATAGTGTCCTAATACAGCTTCGTTTGTCGACGTTGGGGTGGTCGCTGTGGAAGTTGAGGATTTGGTCAGTATGAGTTGCCTTCCTGTATACTGAGGTTTGGAACTCCCCATTGGTCATATGTTCAACTCTGATGTCCAGAAACGGAAGCTGACTGTTGTTTTCTTCATCTTTCATGAGTCTAATCCCTGCGAATACGTTGTTGTTGAGGTGGTGGGTCTCTTCTTGTTTGCTGCATTTAATAATGACAAATGTGTCGTCTATGTACCAGATCCACAATTTAGGTTGAATGAGGGGCAGGGTGGTGTGTTCTAGTCTTTGAATGACTGCCTCTGCGATGAGTCCTGATGGTCAAGATGGCGGCAGAGTAGCAGCGAGCCTGGAGCATGTCTGCCCTGTCCACTTCTACTTCTTTTTCTTCTTTCTCTGTTTTTCCTTTAACCTTTATTTACATTCTGTGGAGAGTTTGCGCAGCATCAAGGTGTCTAGCGCGTTGGAGGCAAGGTTTGTTCCCAGCGGCGGCGGTGGATGGAGGCGAGTTTGGGCCCAGTGCCCAGTGTGGGACCTGGCAGCTTCAGCAGTGGCCACATTGCTGACATCAGCCCAGCGTGGACTCACGGTGGCGACATTGTTGGTAGAAGCAAGATGGCGCTAAAGAATGGTGACACGGTTCTGTGGTGGCAGGACAGTGAAGGAACTCAATGCTGGCCAACTACTTTGTTCTGGTGACGGTCTCAGCGTTGGGATGGAAGAGCCTGGATCCGGGTCCATGGCTAAGGTACTTAAGAAGGACTGTAATGGTGAACTTTTAACTTTATTTCTTTATTTTATGTCTAAGATTCTGCACCTGGGTACTTTTGTACCAGAGAATGGTAACTTTGTACACTTTTTACTCCACTCCTGTATCCCTGTACTTGAGTACACGTGACAATAAAACCTAACTCTAACTCTACAACTGCTTTCATCACTGGGATGTCTCATTTCTCATATGAGTGTGACTGTCATCAGGTCTGACAGCAACAAAGAGACTAGAGCTAACCTTTTAGGAGCATAGTGAACGTGTATTTATAAAGATGCAAGATTATTTGTGATGACGGGTTACCTGTGCCAGCCAAGTGCCCTCAGTATGTTTCCATCTTCCTTTCTCTCCTGTCTAAGTGTAGTCCTTATAGCCGCAACTGGGGTTGCTTTGAAGTTGGTCCTGTTGATCTGGATGCCTTGGTTGGTCAACCTGGGGACAGTTGGGCTTAAAGGGCTTAGGCTGTGCTGAGAGTACCTGGGTCAGATGCTGGCTCACTACCCTTGCCTTGGACCCATGCAGGCTTGGGCATCACAGGTAATGGGGACTGGGCATCTCTGGAGTGTCCCGACAGGAAGCTTCAGGGGATCCTATGTGTGGCTTCTCCTTCCTGTGAGTGCCTGATGGCACTAACGCGTCTCCTAGACAGGAAGGAGCATCTGGAGTGAGGCTTACGTCCCTAACCCCCTTCTTGCTTTGCCATTGGTGCTGAGCACTGTAACTAGAGCAATGAGTATGGTCCAAAGGTGTGAAGGTTAGATAGATTGGCCATGAGAAATGCAGGGATGGGTCAGGGTGGGATACTCTTGGGGCGGTCAGTGTGGACGCAACTGACTGAATGGTCTGTTTCCACACGGGAGGGATTTATCATTCTATGTGCAGGTCCTTGTGCAAATCTGGCAGGTACTGAGTGTCACTTGGGTCTTCATGGTTATAGGCAGACTGTCCATTGGGACAGTCAGATAGACACATACTGGAGCCAGTATGGTATTGCTAATGTTGGTGGCCCTCCCCATCCTTTGATTCAGCTTACTGACTAACTATGACAAACCTGCCTACTTTTGCTGAGTTTTTTTGCACTTTTTGATAAAATCATTAATGGACACACCATGGACTACTCTCCTGCCTGGGGCTGAGCAGGTACCTGATCTCCGGCAGGATTCCTTGTGCCATCAGCCTGGGGCATTTCTCCTTTGACCAGCTATGGAGAAGTGTCAGTGATGTGCTCACAAGATTGTGCTCCTCAGTCTAATCTAGAAAGAGAACTCCTCGGGGTGGAAGACTCTGAGCTGCTAGAGGGTGCTAGGGAAAGCCTTGCTGGTGCATTCTGTGAGGGTTGAGTGGCTTCCTCCTCAGAGCTAGAGACAAGGGTTCACCAGCTCTCAAACTCCTTCTCCTGAAGGTTCACTGAGAGGAGTGAGTTGTGTAAAAGGGCTAAAAGCTTGTGCATTACAGGAGTGAGTTCACACCACCATTAATGGGACTGCAGCACAGCCCAATGAAAATTACTCACATGGATGTCCATGGAAGTCTCTGCATCACCACATGTGATCGCTATCTTCTTCCCTGACTCCAGCAGGTTTTCCTTCATATAGGTTGAGGAGCCTGTTGCCCACCACACTGCCCATGGTCTTCATCCATTCCGTCCAGTTTTGAGACAATTATTCCTTCAAAGGGAGGTATTGAGTGTGATAGAAGTGATTGCAGTGACGTCAGCTATGATGCAGGGGCAGGAGTGGTGGTGAGGTTTTGCCGGTGAGTGAGTAGGGGGAACAGAGGGCAGGACAGGTTAGTAGTTTGGAAGGATGAGGTCACTGAGAACCATTGGGTAGACATGATGCATGAGCCTTGGAGAGAGATCTGCACAGTGGCAGAGTTATAGTCAGTGGTGGCCCAATGAGTGTGAGGTAGCAGAGAGAAAGTGGGGGCACTTTCCTCACAGAGTGCAGAAGGTCATTTATTTTCTTTCAGTTGCGTGTTATGTTAAGCCCTAGACGCTGCATTGGCTCCGCCCACGATCTGGTGATAAGGCGATAAGGATACAGTGATGTCCCTTCTTCCAACCACCCTACCCACCAGCTCTTCCAGGGCCCTGTCAACTTACCTATCTGTGCCATGTCCTCAGAGATGACAATCGAACAGTGCACTGTGAGGCCAGATCCTGGCCTCTAGCATTTGATGTGCTGAGGAGCTGGTGTTTAAATATGGTGCTGGCAGTGTAAGCATTTCCACTGTTCCTGTTGTAAGATCCCATGAGTCAGACACCAGAGACCAATGCATAACGAATGAGCCAAAAAAACAGACTTGAGGAAGTCACTACTGCCATTGTAGACCAGCCGCTGTGAATCTCAACCAAGAAAACCTTCAACAAAAATGGGAAAATTCAGCCCCAAATTACCAAATAATAACAGAACTATTATAACGCGTCAACTGAGACTCAACCATGCAGCCTCTGCCATTGATTTGTAATTGGGTTGCAAATGGCACCCGGTTGACTAGTTGAGCATGTGAAATCTCTGATGTGGATCAAAGATTAGTCTTGGAATCATTTTACAGGTTCTTTCTGCTTTAAAGACTTCCCTCATCTGCCGAAACCATGAAAATATTTGTGTTCCAATCACCTTGCATGATATAGAACACAACACCCATCTTGTGGCTGGAATGATCTTCTGTGTTCTCATCCAAAATAATTGAGAAATCAAAACCAAGAAATCTTGTGCTCTTTAATAAGCTGAATTGGCTAAAAGTAACATCCCTTTATTGCCTGCTGCAAAGAATACCAACAATATTGAGCAATGCTCAATATCAAAGATGAAGAAATTCAAATGCGGATCATAAACATTTCACTTAAATGTAGATTAATTAGCAGATAAAGGACTGAAATAAATGTGGGGCAAATTATTAAACATGTATATGTACATAAATATGTAACATCATAGAAAGTTACAGAGGGTTGTTTAGTTGCATGTTTCCCGATCCCTCGGTCCCGAAATCCAGACATTAGCAGAAAGAAAGGGCATTTTAATGCGGTTAGTATTGGTATTTTGTAATCTCAGCATATGACATTGGAAATAGCAGTATTTGCTAACTCCTTTGGCAAGTTGCGTTTAGGAAATGAAACCATAGAAAATACCCTGAAGTGTTGGCTGGGCTCATAACAATAAGGATGGACTCAAACAATACAACAGGAGCAGCTCTTAAATCAGCAGTCAGCACCATCCTTGGATTAACATTCATTGTTGGGATTCCAGGGAATTCACTTGTCATCTGGGTCATCTTGCATAAGATGAGACAACGCTCATCCACCGTTATCCTGATCCTGAACCTGGCGCTTGCTGATCTGGTTGTGTTGATCACTTTGCCTCTGTGGATTTATTCCATCTGTAACAGCTGGGTGTTTGGAGAAATCTCATGCAAAATCCTGGGCTATCTCATTTACTGCAATTTGTACGGCAGTGTGCTCTTCATTATGCTGATAAGTATAAACCGCTTCCTGGCTGTCAGGTATCCATTTGCTTCACAGAGATGGCAGAGGACTGAGTGTGTTTGCAAGGTGGTCCTTATTGTTTGGTCCTTTGCGTTTTTGCTTTCATTTCCCAACTTGTTAACCAGGAAAGTGAATATCATCGATGGCCAAGCTGGATGTTTCGGTGGTCAGTATGATTCCAAGGACCAGCAAATATCGTGCCTTGTGTTGGAAACCCTGGTTGGATTTGTATTACCTTTTACAGTTCTCGCAACCTGTTATGGATTGGTTGCAAAAAGGGTGGGTAAGATGACTTTTAAGAGCCAAAACAGGTCCGAAATGTTAATTGTCAGCATTACTGCAGCATTTCTAATCTGTTGGTTTCCCTACCATACGTTCAACGTGATTGAATTGGTTTCCTTGATGCTGGACTCGGACGAATTGAAAAATGTTTCTGAGGTGGGATCCTATATCACCGCAACTTTAGCTTTCATCAGCAGCAGCATTAACCCTCTACTTTACGCCTTTGCTGCACGGAATTTGCGGAATGGGTTTCGCTCATCAGTGATGGCCAAGGTATTTGAACAAATAGCTCAGCGCACGAACAATGAAAGTAACCCAGAACGCGAAAATGCAACAAACATGCAAACTACGGAAGAACTGTAAATACCTGAAACATTGTTAATGATGCCACTATTAAAGAACTCTCTCCGTGACTCCCTTGTCCGCTCCGCACTCCCCTCCAGCTCCACCACACCCGGCACTTTTCCCTGCAACCGCAGGACGTGCTACACCTGCCCCCATACCTCCTCCCTCACCCCCATCCCAGGCCCCAAGAAGACTTTCCACATCAAGCAGATGTTCACCTGCACATCTGCCAATGTGGTATACTGCATCCGCTGTACCCGGTGTGGCTTCCTCTACATCGGGGAAACCAAGCGGAGGCTCGGGGATCGCTTTGCAGAACACCTACGCTCGGTTCACAATAAACAACTGCACCTCCCAGTCGCGAACCATTTCAACTCCCCCTCCCATTCCTCAGACGACATGTCCATCCTGGGCCTCCTGCAGTGCCACAACGATGCCACCCGAAGGTTGCAGGAACAGCAACTCATATTCCGCTTGGGAACCCTGCAGCCCAATGGTATCAATGTGGATTTCACAAGTTTCAAAATCTCCCCTCCCCCTACCGCATCCCAAAACCAGTCCAGCTCGTCCCTGCCTCCCTAACCTGTTCTTCCTCCCACCTATCCCCTCCTCCCACCTCAAGCCGCACCTCCATCTCCTACCGACCAACCTCATCCCGCCCCCTTGACCTGTCCGTCCTCCCTGGACTGACCTATCCCCTTCCTAACTCCCTACCTACACTCACCTTTCCTGGCCCCATCCCCGCCTCTTCGACCTGTTTGTTTCCTCTCCACCTATCCTCTCCTCTATCCCTCTTCTATCCGCCTCCCACTCTCTCCCTATTTATTTCAAAACCCCCTTCCCCTCCCCCTTTTCTGATGAAGGGTCTAGGCCCGAAACGTCAGCCTCTCTGCTTCTATGATGCTGCTTGGCCTGCTGTGTTCATCCAGCCCTGCACCTTGTTGTCTCGGATTCTCCAGCATCTGCAGTTCCTACTATCTCTAAAGAAGTATTGTGTCTGGTTTACTAATGCAATAGAAATAGTAGATCACTTGCCTTGCAACATAACGGATGCCATTTTTGCACAGTATAGAAATTCGCGTTGCATGATCTATTGTGTATTAGAATCACTTGTCCATCGAATTTCTTATTGACAGGTTTGTGCAAATTGATTTTGTGTGTTTCATTCATATTTAACGCTGAATTACAAAGATGTTCAATTCAAGCAATTATTAAAATGTGACATTTTATGCACTGCTTTCCGTATATTCTCGCAGTGTTGTATTTTCTTTGCTTCCACCAGCTGTTTTCCCCAGCTAGAACCGATACAGTTAAATTCCATGGATTTCGCTCACCCCTGAACCATTGCATACATCACATCATTGTCTCTGAACTGAAAGAGCAGAATTAATACCACGTCACTGGGAGATCATAACAAATAGGAACAGGAATAGGCCATTTGGCTCCCACCGTCTATTCTGCCATTCAGTAGGATCAAAATGGATTGATAAATCCTCCTGCTTATCCTGGTGGGTCATGTTTGTGCTGTTAATGGTCCTGCTTACCTGTGGGAAGCCAGTCACAGAGACAAAACTGACTACTCTCTCATCCTGCTGACTACCATGTATGGCAGGGGAAATAAACATAGAGTCATAGAGATATACAGCACGGAAACAGACCGTTTGATCCAACCCGTCCATTCCGACCAGATATCCTACAAAAATCTAGTCCCATTTGCCAGCATTTGGCCCATATCCCTTTAAACCCTTCCTACTCATACACCCATCCAGATGCCTTTTAAATGTCGTAATTGTACCAGCCTCCATCACTTCCTCTGGCAACTCATTCCATACACACACCACCCTCTGCGGAAAATGTTGCCCCTAGGTCCCTTTTATGTTTTTCCCCATCATAAATCTATGCCCTCTAGTTTTAGAATACCCCACCCCAGGGAAAAGACCTTGCCTGTTTACCCTATCCATACCCCTCATGATTTTATAAACTTATAAGGTCATCCCTTAGCCTTTGATGCTCCTGGGAAAACAGGCCCAGCCTATTCAGCCTCTTACTATAGCTGAAACCCTCCAACCCTGGCAATATCCTTGTAAATCTTTTCTGAACCCTTTCTCGTTTCACAACATCCTTCCTATAGGAGGGCAACCAGAATTGCATGCAATATTCCAAAAGTGGCTGAACCAATGTCCTTAACAGCCACAACATGACCTCCCAACTCCTTTGCACAATGCACTGAGCAATAAAGGCAAGTGTACCAAACACCTTCTTCATTATCCTGTCTGCCTGTGACTCCACTTTCAAAGAACTATGAACCTGTGCTGCAAGGTCTCCTTGTTCAGCAAAATTCCCGAGAAACCTTACCACAAAGTGTATAAGTCCTGCCCTGATTTGCCTTTCCAAAATGTAGCTCCTCACATTTATCTAAATTAAACTTCATCTGCCACTCCTCAGCCCATTGGTCCATCCGATCAAGATTGTGTTGTACTCTGAGGTAACCTTCTTTGCTATCCACTACACCTCAAATATTAGTGTTATCTGCAAACTTACTAATCATACCTCCTCTGTTCACATCCAAATCATTTATATAAATGACAAAAAGAAATGGACCGAGTATCAATCCTTATGGAACACCACTGGTCACAGGTCTCCAGTCTGAAAAACAACCCTCCACCACCACACTCTGTCTGCTACCTTTCAGCCAGTTCTGTATCCAGATAGCTAGTTCTCCTGGTATTCCATGCAATCTAATCTTGCTAACCAGTCTACCATGAGGAACCTTGTCGAACGCCTTACTGAAGTCTGTATAGATCACATCCATTGCTCTGCCCTTATCAATCCTGTTTGTTTCTTCTTCAAAAAACTCAATCAAGTTAGTAAGACACGATTTCCCATGCACAAAGCCATGTTGACTATCCCTAATAAGCCCTTGCCTTTCCAAATACATGTAAATCCTGTCCCTCAGGACTCCCCCTAACAATTTGCCCACCACTGATGTCAGGGTCACCGCTCTATAGCTCCCTGGCTTTTCCTTACCACCTTTCTTAAATAGTGGCACCACGTTAGCCAACCCCCAGTCTTCCGGCACCTCGCCTGTGGCTTTCGACGATACAAATATCTCAGCAAGGGGCCCAGCAATCTCTTCCCTCATTTTCCACAGAGTTCTAGGGTACACCTGATCAGGTCCCAGGGATTTATCCATCTTTATGTGTTTTGAGTCATCCAGCACCTCCTCCTTTGTAATATGGACATTTTGACTATGTTGCTATTTATTTTCCCACATTCTCTAGCTTCCATATCTTTCTCCACAGTAAACACTGATGCAAAATACTCATTTAGTATCTCACCCATCTCCTGTAGTTCCACATGTAAGTGGCCTTGCTGATCTTTAAGGGGTCCTATTCTCTCCCTAGTTACCTTTTTACCCCTTATGTATTTAGAGAATCCCTTTGGATTTTCCTTAGCCCTATTTGCCACTTTCTGCCCTCCAGACTTCCCTCTTAAGTATATCCCTACTGCCTTTATACTCTTCTAAGGATTCACTCAATCTTTGCTGTCTATACCTGACATATGCTTCCTTCTTTTTCTTGACCAAAACCTCAATTTCTCTGGTCATCCAGCATTTCCTACACCTACCAGCCTTCCCCTTCACCCCAACATGAACATACTGTCTGTAGACTCTTGTTATCTCATTTTTGAAGGCTTCCCATTTTCCAGCCGACCCTTTATTTGCAAACATCTGCCCCCAGTCAACTTTTGAAAGTTCTTGCCTTATACTGTCAAAATTGACCTTCCTCCAATTTAGGACTTTAACTTTTAGATCCGGTCTATCCTTTTCCATTACTTTTTAAAAACTAATAGAATTATGGTCACTGGCCTCAAACTGCACCCCCACTGATACCTCAGTCACCTGCCCTGCCTTATTTCCCAACTGTATGTCACATATTGCACCTTCTCTAGCAGGTACATCCACATACTGAATGCGAAAATTTTCTTTTGCACACTTAACCAATTCCTCTCCCTTAACACTATGACAATCCCAGTTTATGTTTGGAAAGTTAAAGTCCCCTACCATAGCCACCCTATTATGTTTACAGATAATTGAGATCTCCTTACAAATTTGTATCTCAATTTCCCGCTGACTAGTGGGGAGTTTACAGTACAACCCCAATAAGGTGATCATCCCTTTCTTATTCCTCAGTTCCATTCAAATAACTTCCCTGGACATATTCTCAGGAATATCTGTCTTAAGTACAGCAGTAATATTATACCCCAATTAAAGTGCCACTCCCCCTCCTCTCTTGCCTCCCTTTTGATCCTTCCTATAGTGTCCATACCCTGGAACATTTAGCTGCCAGTCCTGTCCATCCCACTTCCGTAATTACTATGATATCCAGTCTCATGTCTCCAACCATGCCCTGAGTTAATCAAATTTGCACCCCAATTTGCCAACATTTTCATGCACTAGTTCGAGCAAGACTTCTTTGCTGCACAGGACCTCAGATCAATTCTATACAGCAGGTACATTGATGACATTTTCTTCCTGGACTCATGGTGAGGAATCACTGAAACAACTATATAGTGATATCGACAAGTTTCATCCCACAATCAGACTTACCATGGACTACTCTTCAGAATCAGTCTCATTCTTGGACACATGCATCTCCATCAGGGATGGACACCTCGGTACCTCACTGTACCACAAGCCAACGGATAAATTTACCATGCTGCACTTCTCCAGCTCCCACCCTAAACATATAAAAAAGTCATCCCCTATAGACGAGCCCTGTGCATACACAGGATCTGCTCAGATGAGGAGGAACGTGACAGAAACCTGAAAATTTTGAAGGATGTCATCATAACAATAGGATACGATGCTCAACTCATCGATCACCAATTCCGACATTCCACAGCGAAAAACCCCAATGACCTCTTCAGAAGACAGACACAGGATACAACTAATAGAGTACCCTTCATTGTCCAGCACTTCCCCAGAGCGGAGAAAGTATGCCATGTCCTTCGCAGCCTTCAACATATCATCAATGATGACGAGCATCTCGGCAGGATCTTTTCTACGTCTCCACTTCTTGCCTTCAAACAATCACCAAACCTTAAACAGACCGTCGTTCACAGCAAACTACCCAGCCTTCAGGACAAC